GTTCTGGGAGGAAAACTTAGAAGAAGTTAAATATCCTGGCAACGATCCTTGACCTCTGCACTCTCTCCAGATGTGAGGCACCAAGAAAAATGTCCTCTGACCAAGAGCCAGCTTTTCCAAGGAGATAATTCCTCATGATACCGGAGGAGTCCCATCTTGGCCTCTGAGCGGGACCGGAGCAGGTCGTCGCTGCTGGAACAATGTGTGGTCAAGTCGACGTGGCATCGTGGAAGCTACTTGAATGTTCTAACACACCAGAAGCAGCTCGATACCCTAAGTCCTTAAGGAAACGACCGGCAGATTTACCTATAAAGCAGCAATTGACAGAACGTCTGAATGTTTGGAGATAAGTAGATGCTTTAAGGGATTTTCTCCAGGCAATCAAGGATTAAGCGGAAGCTTTGGGTCAGGCAGTGTGGCACTATAGTTACTTCACACAGAGAAACGTCTTCTTGTCCTCTATGGAGCAAGACAAAAGATGTGGTGCAACCAGAAAAAAAAGTTTGTTGACCTTGAATTTCAGCAGATATGCTTCTGGTTCCTATTGTTGCAGCACTTTTAAGACGCATTTCATTCTTGGGCAAATTGCCACCTTCCCCTGTGGCAGCCTCTGATTGGTCAATTAGTGCTTTAGAAATGTACCATCCGCTCAGAGAGAATGACTGTCTGGTGCCTAAGTGCTTAAACTGCCTTTGGATGACAAAGGCGGATGGGAAAATCATAAACCTTGAATCAGGCCTAATCTCCTGGACTGCCTGGTTTGCACAAATTTCCTAAAGGGATGCCCCTCCCTCTCTGCTTATTCATTACTGTTATTATTAGAGAAGAAATCTCCATTATTATTTATTACGTGAGGTTACATTTACAGGCTAAAGTCACATATGATCAAATCCAGTTGTGTGTATATATATAGTACTATATGCTGGAAAAACTTTCAATGAAAACGCAAACTTGTTTATTTTCTCAGCAGTGCACAGAACCATCGTTGAAACGTCCATTTCTTTAACCGTGGATGTTGCCGCTGATCCACTAACTGAAAAGAACCAAAACCTGACCAGAATTATGGGAACATGCTTCCCTTAAGTCTTAAAACTCTGGGTTAATTTGCCACAGGCAACTCATTGATGCCCAAGTACAGAGGAGGAGGGGGAGGGAGAGCGGGAGAGGAGGGTTACTGTCTTGGGGTTTGGGTCGGCCGAGCATCCAAACATCTGATTATTCCTCATTAAATAATCAAACTGTTTGCCTTGTCATGACCCCCTGCTGCCATCGTCGGCACGCAATCCATTCCCCATCATCCTCTAGTATGTCCAAGGATGCAGCGGAAGATACAATATATGCATAAGGACAACACAAGGATGGGAGGAATGGAGCAGAAATGAGAGGCAAGAACAAAAGAAGCTGCTGTTTTGGCCTTGGCGTGGGGGGGGGGGAAGAAAAAGCAAACTGGGCCCGGAGTCACAGCAGGGCAGGAACGGCGGGCTGAGAAAGGAAACTCAATCTTATAAAAAGATTTTGGACAAGAATCAAGTGAGGTGGATGACTTTTGTCTGTCTTACGACGCTCATGAATGCTGCAGCAGCTTGATAAGCAGGTTCTTGGTATTAGCTCACTGGGCAGCTCCTCCGGTTCCGGTCTGGCAGGGGAACCACGCAGCCTTCCCTTCAGACCACAGGCATCCAGTCTGGAGGGCTTTTCTCCGAGTCGATAAGAAACGCTGCAGGTTACCTACCTCCCAGTGCAGTCCCAGCGGCGACGACCAGCTTTTAAGCCTCCTTCAGAATTTATGTATAAGGAAGAGGCCCAAAGAAGGTTTGTTGATGAGATACAACTGCTGGCTGGTGGAATGTGGCATCACATGACAGAATGAACCGAATGTCATGACGGAATGAACCGAATCACATGACAGAATGAACCGAATCTCATGACAGAATGAACCGAATCACATGACAGAAACTCTGTCCCAGATAAAACGTTGAATTATCAAAATTTCGGCACTAATGGTTGTAATTTATAACTAGCTATTTTATGCCAAAACAGCCTTAAAGCTTAACCTGATATATCACAATGCATAACAGGTACAAATACAGCTTCATAAATGCCAAAACTTATACTGTTGCTTTACACAAATCCGGACCAACTTCTGAATGTCATCATCAGGCGAATTCAATGTGGCAGAAATCAGACTGTCAAACTTCTGAGCAGACGAGAGCGTGACTAGCGAGAGGATGAAAGGAGCGGACGGCAGATCGCGGCCGTGATATTTCCCACACTCCTTTGGGCTCCCAGCTCTCCCCACGGGCTGCAGACGGGAGCAGTTGTTACCACTAAGCTCCTGCACCTGTACCTTTCCGGGACAGCTGGTGTGCGGAAAGCGGGGGCCGGGCGGTGCCACAGAGGGTCGCCAGCGGAAACCCCGCCTCTTTGGAACTGGAACCATGTGCAGTCGAGCGGCTAATGATCCTCACCTTTCCTTCCGTGTAGCTCGTGAACCAGTCCAGCTAACCCTCCTCTGCTAACCCTCCTCTGCTAACCCTCCTCTGCTAACCCTCCTCTGCTAACCCTCCTCTGCTAACCCTCCTCTGCTAACCCTCCTCTGCCAAACCAGCCCCCCTCAGCGCCTACTTACAGTCACTCAAGGCTACTCTCTTCTGGCCGTCCTCGCAGTAAATACCATCCCCGGCAAGGTGATTTATCCTGCTCAAGGAAACATTTGGCAGCTCCCGGCAGCCGACGAAGGCGCAGGTAAAATAAAACTGCTCCGTGTTCATTTTTTGCTTGATTTGTGTGTTAGAAACAAAATCTGCGCGCCACTGTACGCCTGTGTGCTGGGAGCGCAGAAAGATCCACACAGACATGGGGCAGGGAGGGAGAGACGAGATGGGCAGTTTATAAACACGCGTGACATCAAGCTTCCTAGACGGCCTCGTGGACACTAAAGAAAGACGAGCCAACAGGAAGCCTCAGAGAGCCAGAATATACCCCCTCCCCCCCCCCCCAGGGACTGCCGTATACCCTTAACATGCAGTCAACGATCGATTACCAGTGCATTTGACAGTCCTCCAACATCTCCCCTGCCCCCGGGACATCCACCCCCCGCCCCCGCCATCCTGCACTTGCATCATCATCATCATCATCATCATCATCCTTCCTCCTCAGTGACAGACAGCAGCTGCTGGTGCTCTACTGCCGCGGAGATGATTGGAGTCCAGGCCCCGCTCACCGTTTCTCGGAGCTCTGCAGTCAGTAGGGCCCCCTCCCCGGAGAACTCCCCCACCCCCGCTCACTACCAATCCTCCTCAGCCTCAGAGCTCCCACTGGATCTGCCCGCAGTGACGGCGGGGTGAAATGAAGTGGGGCCATATCCGGGAAAAGGGCCGCCAACAATGAGATTCACCTGCGGCAGCTGCTCCACCTGTCTGCGCAGACAGATGCGTGGCTCAGAGGCTCGTGCCACTACAGCCTCCTCCAAGGCCTCACGGGGGTGCTGATGTCACGTAAGGGGCGCCATCGCTTCTGGTAATCTCCTGTTAGCACGTACTGTCACGACAAATTCACCGTGGACTTTATGCTGACGTGGGGGGAATTGAGATGGAGTCGGACAAGGGAATTGAAATTACCTCCGGGAGCCATTGCAGGGAATGGAGCCCCCGTCTCATCCGGAAATTACAAATTACTTCCAGAGATTTAGCCCAATTGGCTGGGTTATAATTTAGGACAGTATTTGGGATGCTGGAGGAACATGCGATTTCTAACATGATTTTACTCTCATCGACGCCTTTAATCTCAGAGTTGTTTGTAAACTGTCTTTTTTCCATCAGACTTAATCTAAAATAAACGTGTGGCTTTTGCTGTCACCGATGCGTTACTCAGATCCTGCGATTTGTCTTCCTACGCCTTCAGACAACAACGCCTCTTTTGTTGAGAGGTGTTTTCGGTCCATTTTGAGGGAAAAAAAAAACCCAAACATCCATGGATCAGACTTCTCTCAAAAAAAAACACGTTCCGAAAAAACAAATTGAGCCTGAGCTCAATGACACTAAAATCTGTGCTTCGGTTTGATGAAATAGATTAAAGTTTATTAAACAGCCATCGATTTCCCTGAGATATTCATTATGCAGTTAGGTAGAACTGAAAAAAAAACATATAAATCTTGTTTTATTGCTTATAAGTAATTAGTGCAATTAATCCCAAAGGTAGAAATTGATTTCAAGCCACAGCAACCTCAAGGCTAAGTGGCTTTCTAACAACAATGCTTATCGTATGAGATGAATTTTGTCCCCATGCTACTGAAATCTGATCTCATCTAATGAGTCTTTAGGTGTAAGCTGAGACCTAGTGAATTCACCAGGTTGAACAGCCAATTAAATGCAAGCTCTGATTTCAGTGTCTGTTTGCTCAGTGTCTGTTGCTCAGGCACATGGAGTTTTTTTTAGATCACCACTTAAGCAGCCAATCAAGTCTTGTCACTTTATGACATCATAAAGCAGCCAATAAACTTTACAGGCTCAAGCAAGCTGCTCCAAAAACTGGTCCCCCGTCAGAGTGTGACCTCCACCCAGTCCCCCAGCCTTCATTTGTTTGCACAGCGCCCCCTGCTGTCCGGCTATAATAAATCGGTGTCTATGCAGCACACCTCTCTTAAATGTTTCATTAGCTTAGCATCTGCAGATAATTGCTGCTAATTAGCTTGGCCGGGGCTCCTGTCCAGAGTCGTGGCCTGACCCGGCCAGGCATACGGCCCCCCTCTCTGTGTGGGACCAACACCTCCGGTCCTGTGGGCGTGGATTCTGGCCCTGAATACGTGCGCTTGGCAAAGGGGCATCACCAAAGCCAGGGAAAGGTGTCTCATCGCCAACTCCGATCAAGATTCCATCATTTTAGGTCACTCGGAATTTGCTCAGAAAACACACAGGTCCTTAAAAAAGATTAACCGTTGGTATGGCGTGCGTGAAGATGGCTAGGTGACTCCCCCCCCCCCGGTGCTGCGAGACACTTACCACCCAATGCTTGCTTCATTACAAAATCCATGGTGTGCTCCGGTTCTCACTTCGTCTCGCGGTTGAAGACAAATGTGTGTATCCACCTGTCCTGCTGCCTTTTGCCTTCCCCTAATGCCTTTTTTTTCCCCAAATAAAAGCCTGAGAGAGGAAAGACAAACAGTAGAGAGCATGTTATATGGGGGAGGCCGACAGGAGCATGATGCAGAAGGACACACACACACACACACACACACACAATGCTAAAACCCTAGACTGGCACGCTCTCAGCATTCTGCCAAAAAGTCCCACTTATCTTTCCAAAAAAGCTTTCAAAATCCTTTTGTTGTCAGACTACCAGTCAAGCAGCTCCTTAAATCTGCGGCAGGCGGTGACGGACGGGTCGTCACCGCAAACGTGGGGTTATGGTTTATTGCGACTCCGGAACCACCTCGAGTTCTCGACTTCCTCGAGGAGGCCTGGAGGAACAAGGGTGTGGACCGGTGTGGATTCCCAGCCCACGATTGTTGGTGTGTGTCAGGCCGGAATGGCGGACTGGACCAGGCGCCCATCCTCTAGCACGAGGCCTGGCTTTTCGTTTGAGATAATTTGATGAGCAGAGTCTGGCAAAGAGCCAGGCGGCATGACCGCATCCCAGGACAAAGGTGCGAATTGAAGTCCTAATTTCAAAATTTAAACAAAACTGCTTTTGAAGTCAACCTTCAGAAATATCAAATTGGCCTGAAAAACAAGCTGGAGATTTATCATAATTGACCCTTCAAAGTAAGAGACCTTAGAGATAATCAGGCAGCTGAGTGGGGGAACAGAGGCTGCCGTATAGGTAGCTCAGTGTACAAGGTGCTGGCAGATTACTCTTAATTCCCATGAGGCTGAAGGCCGTCTTTAACAATGCCTGTTGCTAATTGTCCCTTTTTTTCCCCTCTCAAAGGCTAGCCTTGCATTTCACATTCGCTGTCACACAGCTGCATTCTTTCCAGGGGGGGTACACAGGAGTTGAGGCGGATTTAAGGTTCCCAGCCGCTCCTCTAGTCCAGTGATTTATTGGCATCTGCTATGAGTACAAAACAGGTTTTTGAACCTGTGTACCCATCACTGAAAGGTTTTGTGCAGAATTAATTAGGTTTCACCATAGGTGATAGAATAAAACAACAAAGTCTTTGAAAAAAAAAATTGAACTGCAGTACATTACATGCGCTGCTTCAAACAGGATTTTATTAAAACAGGCCGAGGTGCTTGTTTGCTTACTTATTACCCAACTGTGACAACTGAATCAAAAATGTAATTCTATAAGACGAGCTCATATAACGCTGTTTACCCATTTCGTGGACCATGTCAGAGAATACTACAGGGTTAATCGAGCAAGCTGTATATTTTTTCATGTTCAGGGGGATCAGGAACTACTAAAAGGAATTATTTTGTACAACATTTATGTGGCGTGTTCTCATCGGAGATCGTCTGGAAACGATATGTTATAGTTATTTTGAGGATTTGTCTGAGGACTTTAAAACAAATTATTAAAATGTGTAATATCCTTAACTGTTTTGCGTATTTAGAAGTAGGCTACACCTCCATTGGGAATATCAAGCAATCTGGTCTTTTTGGACAAGAGAAAATGAACTAAAAGCTACTATTTCTCAGTAAAAATGATTGTGTGCAACCAGAAACCTGATCCGACTATGTCTCTTTGACTATAGTGGGAAAAATTGATGAACCTTTAGTGATCTGATAGCCACAGGTGATGGCTCAGCTGTATCTTTCAAAGAGTTTATTTCAAATCGAACACATTCCAAAAATTACTAATCACTAGTCAAGTGTTATGCTAGGATACACTAAGCGGCTGTTTGTACTCGAAGCCTATTATTAAGACATGTAGAAAAATATTCCTCTGTAGCACATTTTGTTTTTAACCCATACAGAACCAGAAAACTTTTCTTGAAGAGTAAATAAGCAATTCTGATCTTTTATCGGAAATTCGTATTGGAACTGAATGGTTTACGGGTATTAAAATAAGCAATTGTGAGCGACAAGAACAAGACACATAGATTAAACGTCTGCAAAGCGCGCATTTAAAAGTGCGGTATCAGCTAAACTGTACTTAAACATACAGTAGGTCAGCTCCGTGCAGCCCATAGATAAAAATGAAGAGTCTGCACTTTCTGGCTCGTTTAAAACGAGGGCTTGTAATATACGCCTACAGCTACCTTGATATTTCTTTAAATGCCGTTCAGGACCATAATAACCAAATAAGCAGATGTCAAAGCTAAGAAAACAGCACATTTACCGATGCATGGAAAATAAACCGAAGGGTGTAAAAGCGGCAGGCTGCATCGGGGGAGTTACTCACTTACTCCTCTGCCAACAGCGTCCACAAAAAACACAACAATGCTCCATCGGGACTAAATGTTACATCTGCATAACACCACCACTACAGCCCCTAATTTCGGTGTTTAAGTTGGGAACATAAACGATCCGTTACTTGATATAGGGAATAAACACGCTTCAGCACCACGGCTAGCGCCCAGCGCGCGCCTAAACCATTTATTTAGGCAAAATGAAATAAAATGACACCCATCGCGGCGGTGATCTGCACGACATCTGCACGTAAATCGTGAGCTCCCACTGTATACCGATGCAATGCCATATAATTCCTCTGAAAGTCTGCAAATACTCGCAGATGCAGTCGCGTCCGGAGCGAATCTCCAACTTGCGGATAAATGAGGATGCTGCTACCTTTACTAAGTTTGCCGTGAAAAGCTACATGCTTTATGAAGATGCGACACTGCTGGATCATTAATCTCGTCTCCTGATAGTACGAACCCCAGTCGCAATTACCCAAACTTATCCCTTTTATGACATTCACCGCCAGTCTATTATCGTGTGTAATTCAGGAATATCAAAAATATGTTCTAACGCTGTGCATGGCACGTGTTACTAAATCTTAAAGCACATCGTAAACAGACGGACTGTTCGCTACCATCCTGAGTCAAACCCGAGCATTTACTAACCGTTAACATAAATGCAACTGTTGAAGCTGCAACGAAACCACAAATGCAATAAACTCCATAAAACACACACATCTCCGCATTCGGAAAGCAGAGAAGCAAACTGAAGGCTCCGAAAAAATACACGGACTCACTTAAGACTCAGACCAATACACTGAAAAGCGTATTTCACTAAATACACACCTTTAAACACTTCTTTCCAACCTTCTTTGCCTTTCACCATTCAAGTTTTCTCCGATTTGAAAGCGCCTCTTCAAACTGTAACCACCTTATACAGCCCAGCCACACACGCCCTCTCTCCCTCCCCTTCCCCCATCTCTTTCTCTCTCTCTCTCTCTCTCTATCCCCCCTCTCTCTTTCTCTCAACCTTCAAATCTGACCTTTCTCCAGTATGCAAGACAAGGACAGTGCGTTTTTATTTTCTCAATTCATAAAACAACGTTGTGTCCGGTTTCCATCCATCCTCACTAATCAGACGCCTCCGTATGTTTCGTTTCGCACATCCCATCTCACCGCAAAACTAAGACAGCAGGAACGTGTCTCTCAACAGTCTTGATTTCAGCTCTACTTATAAATCAATGATTACTAACAGAGATAATACATACAGATGTTTGTCTTTCCTGTTCTTTAGGCTTTGGAAAACATGCCGTTTATGGTTAGAAGTGGTGCATGCATCTAGATATATAAAATCACACTTCCACATAACCCATAACCCCACTGTCAGCAATTTCAGTCGCCGTACAGTTTTATTTTGTATTCCGATCTGTTGTCTGCGGATGACCTTGCTGGTTCCCGATGTGCAGGATAATTGCTATATTATTTTAGTACAGCGGACTAAAGGAAAAATACGGCAGCAGAAGTTAACGATAAAAAGCGAGTATATTCATTGGATCTCCGATTTACGGGGTGTGAAAACACAATAGACTTAATTCCAGTTTATTTGAACAATCGACATTGCCTGATCGGACTCTTAAAAGACACACCACTGGATTATTTATTGAACAGTGTAGAACCGTTACATTTTGTATCCCAAACAGCCCCAGAATCCACATTTGCACACGCCATGAATTTTGGATCTGTCTAAGGCGACACCCTAGAATAAAGATTTTCAGATGAGTGATGTTACTGAAACAGGGATACAGAAAAATACAGCTTTTGATAAATTTACTTTGCTGTAATTTATGAACTGGGTTGATGTCAGGATTACAAATTGCTAACCAGCTGTCAGAATTCATCCCTCTAATTAGACCTAAACTGGGAATCCACGCCTCTCTTACTAATCACATTTATTTCCATAAATACAAATCACAGACTTTGGCAAAGCTATGCGTAAAAGCAGGATGTGGCTACTTTAAAATCCCTTTGAAATACGCCGGCTTTACGAATAAACAAATGAAGGGTCTTAAAATACATATTCGAACGAGGAATTTATTGCCACAAGATGAATCTTGACTCCTGTGGTCCGTGCTATACTCAGTAGTAATGGCGAGCTATTTGAGGGGGGGTTTGGGGGTCCCGATACGGTTTATAGGTGTGGTGCGGTTATAACCCCGGGGATCATCCCAGTGAGGCACGTTAATTGGGTCTGGAGCAAAGGGAAGAGGGGGTGGGGGGGGCACATCTCGCGCCCCCCGGGACACGCCCCCCGCCTCCACCCCCTTTAACGAGCTTGAATGCCACGCATGCGCAAAGAACACAAAGGAAGGACATTTCGTCGCTAGCTCGGTCTGCGGGGCTCCGTTTTCGCAGCTGTTTCGATTTCATGCAGCAGACCAGATATCCTCAGAGGCTATTGATAAGGACACCGGAAGGCATGGATGCTGCTCGATTTGCTCCTGTGCCAAAATGACACCTGAGGCGGCCGATGGTCACCTGATTGGATGTACTGCCTTTGCTAAAAGGCACAGAAATTAAGTAGCCGGATGGCAGACAGACACAAAATGCGCTGCACCAGACCGTCCCCGTCGTTTGGCGTGTCCACGTTTGATGAGGAATCGGACAAAATAATGTGCAGCACGTGAGATTTGTGCTGGTGATGGATCTTCGATTTATAGATGCACTTAAAGTGACCTTCAGGCCAGAAATGGGGGGGGGGGTTGGCTGTAGTTATGAAGCCATGTGGCAGCACGCTAAGTCACTGTCTACTCTACCATGGTAACACCACCTGGCCCAACCTCACGGACACGGCAGTCTTGCAACGTAAATGTTGCATTGTGAGCTATTTGCAAGCAGCCCCCCACTAGCAGTACAACAGCTCGACCCCAAACCTCGTATTCCGGATGCCTCCATAGCCACTGGTCCCATGGTTTTCCACATGAGTGTCTGATTAGCGAAGAGAGAGGGAGAAGCACTCACCATATTAACTCCGATTCTGACACAGTGTCAGTGTGATACCTACTTTGCTACCTACTTTGCATGTATAATCTATAAATGTGCTGTTTTCCACAGCAGGTTTTTAGGCTGATTAACCAGCTGGATTAGTTGCTATGGCATCTTTTTACGTGGATGCAAGTGTTTTATTCACCCAATTTAACAACTTTATTTATTGGGGTAGTTAAGTAACATTAGGGATGGGAGGTTACAGTTAGTAGTTTCGTACAAATCGACGGGGATCATTTCAGGTGGCTCATCTGACTGGTGACTGTAGGGTTGCCAGGTTGGGTGCATAGATGCTGAACAACCAGGGCTTCACAAATGAGTGTAGTGCCCACTTGAGGCCAGGGGAGGAAGTGCAGGAGGGCATCAGCACTCTAGTAAGGTTTACCGGCTCCCTGCTCAGGAACTAGAGGCGAGGTTATGTGTGCCGCACCTGCAGAAGGGCTGGCTGCCCCCCCCCCCCCCCCGGCAGGGCGTCCACAGCACGGTCGGCTGCCTGTGTTTTGATCGCGCAGTCAGTGCTGTTCAGCTCAGTGGGGAGAACCTGCTGGGCCTTGACATGGAGACCGTCTGCCTCAGCCTGCCAGCTGCTAACGTCCTTCTGCAACCTTGGGGGCTCCCCCCCCCCCCTCTCGGCAGGAGCCTAGGAAAGCAAGGTGCGCTCACGGGAGCCACATCTCTTCCACATCTCCTCCACATCAGTGAGCTTCTGCTTGTCGACTGTGTGGCCATATGTGAGGGGGGAGAGGGACAAGGAAGGCAGAAAAAAAAAATGGCGGCGCGTGTCAAATTGGCCTCCACCGGTACACACTCCTCACACTTCGTGGCGTGACATGTTTCAGCGGCTGATCAATAAATCTATACATACACTGCTGTGACACAGCTTCATGAAGGGGGACAACATAGCAGTTGGTGCTTTCTTTTTCTTGGGGAGGGCACAAGAGCCTTTGAAATTTCTGGCTGTGGAAACAGGATGAAGATAAACGGCTAAATGGAGCTTGTATCTCTACGATAGCCCAACACCCGTACGCCCCCCCGCCCACCCCACGGCGCCAAAACAAGGACCAAATCCATGCCAGACAATCAGATAGGAAGACAGGAGACGACTACGTTTTTTAATCATGGGGACGAACCACGTACAAAAACTGGTACAAAATGTTTTCAATCACGGCCAACGCGAACGAAGCGTTCTCCAGACGATTCCCAGATTCTCGGACGGAGGTGGTATTTTTCCGCTTCCCCCGCTGAACGATTCCGCCGCAGTAGGATCCGTGCGCCTGGCGGTGGAACGCCAGAGGAAACACGCTAATTAGGAACGGTGAAGGGAGATCAGCTGGTGCAGCGGGTGAAGATTCCCCGACGGGCTCCTAGCGCCACCTAAAGGGCATCTGAGGTCACAAAGCCGAGCAACTACACATAAGACCGAAAAAGAGGGTATTTCGATTCTTCCCATAGTATCTTACACTCAACTATCTCCAAAACTGTGACAATTCCAAATGAAGTACCTAAAAATATGTATTTCTTAGTTTGCACTATAGTATTCAAAATACTATAATCTGAGTGAAGACGTGTCTCTGTTTTCCTGTTATTCTGCACAAAATCAAACGGCATGTAGGACAACAAGTGGCAGGGTTGCAGGTTCAAGGCTGGTAAGAAGATAATGACATAACACGTGGTTTTCCTCTGACAGCAGGTTATGGTAAGAATCCCTCCACCACTCTGACTACATGTACAGAGGGCTGGATAACTTCCCTTTAAGGTTCCTTCCATTGTGATTCACGGAACACTATTTCTTCTGAGTTTATTTACGGTATTTATGAACTTGCGTTATTTACAGTGCTACCATTTAAGCTAAGGTTGTGAAGGACGTCTGCCAAAAAGCGACTCTGAAAAGCACGACTCGTATTCAAAGGAGCTGATAAATCGCTGCACCACAGCATACAAAATCTTTCTAGGGTAACGTAACATAGCTAGTGGCAATATCGCAGGCTCGAGTCCCAGGAGAGACCCTCCTGTCATGCTGTAGAAGTGCGCAACCGAATCACCGTGCTACGCCACCGGCTGTATAAACAGAGGTAGCAGAATTATAAGCTATGCAAGCTGCTCTGGGCAAGACTATGGCTGGGAGGGAAAAAAAAGAACCACAACAGATTCTTAGCAACTGGTGTCTTAACAACCGCTGAGCAAGAACTCTGGCCGGCTTCCAGGCGAGGTGTCTGGGGACGGAGAAACCGGGCGGCTCGAGACACCGGAAGCGCGACTCCACCAGCGCCTCGCCGACAGGAAAACCGGCCTCTCAGGCATGTGGAGAACGCGGGTCCATGTGCCGGGAGGGAGGCGCTCTGCCTTTCCTGCCATTTCCACCCGCATTTTTCATCATCCCAGGATTTAAAGCAACACAGCATTTACAGAGTAAATAATCCATCACACCCAGAAGGAAAACTGTCTGGGGGCGGGGGGAGAAAATTAGATACTATGTTTAACGTCCAGCATTCACACACTGTCCTGCATTCACACACTGTCCCGCATTCACACACTGTCCCGCATTCACGCACTGTCCCGCATTCACACCCTGTCCCGCATTCACACACTGTCCAGCATTCACACACTGTCCCGCATTCACACACTGTCCTGCATTCACACCCTGTCCCGCATTCACACACTGTCCCGCATTCACACCCTGTTCCGCATTCACACCCTGTCCCGCATTCACACACTGTCCCGCATTCACACACTGTCCCGCATTCACACCCTGTCCCGCATTCACACCCTGTCCAGCATTCACACCCTGTCCTGCACTGGGACAGCAACACCACAGTGTCCATTTATTCTATGCAAATGCCTCATCATCCCAATCAGGGTGTACACCCCAGCCCTGTGCCCAGTAGCCTACAGGCCTTCTCTGTGACCCTGACCAAGCAGTTAGAAGTATCAT